TCGTGGGCCGGGGTACGGTGCCACTGCCGCGCCAAAGCGGCAGAACGGGGGCAAAGCCGACAGCGAGCGGCTGTGTGGGGCAGGGGACACGGCTCTGCATAGGACGGTAAAGGAGAGTAAGGAACACAGCTGGTGAAGCCCTTATGTTAGTTTCTTTATTTCCTTCAGACCAAGCCTCTGCTTTTCAGGATAAAGGTGATACAGGTGAAGCAGGAGAGGAAGAGGAGGAAGGAGAGAGCAAGCTGCCGGGGTTTGAGGGTGAAGAAGAGGAGGAGGAGGAGGAGGAGGAGGGAGAGGAGGAAGAGGAGGAGACTGCTACCAAGGATGGCTGATTCCAGCTTTGTGCCTCGTTCCCCCTCCTCGGTCCCGGTGGCGGGACGCCCGGTGAGGGCACACGACGCGCCAGCCCCGCGCCAGGGCTCTGCCCGGGCCCCTCCGCGGCCCCCGCGCTCTGAGCAGGAGCCAGAGCCGCGAAGCGGCGCCCTGGGCGGCGGAGAGACCTCTGAGTCAGTCCCAGATGCTCCCTGGCCCTTTGCCCTCCCGCTTTTCCCCTTTGGATGAATAAACAGGAGGCTTCCGAGCCGCGTTTCCTCTCCCGTCGCAGCAGCGTGGAGCAGAGGGTGGGAAGGCCGCGTCCCTTCTCCTGCCCTTCTCCCGAGGGCTGGAGGTAGCTGCCGACCGCGGCGCAGCCGGGATGGTGCCTCCGCATCCCACCCGGCTGCCTCTGGGGCCCAGAACCCCCTGGCCAGGCTGGCCCTGAAGCTCAGGCCCAAGGCCACGGTGATGGCCGTGGCCCTGCGGGATGTGACCGGACAGTGCTGGGAAGGGACCCCACTGATGCCCAGCACCTCCGGGATGCACCCGCGTGCCCAGCCCCGCTGGGGGGCTGCACTGGGGGTCTGCATTAACCGCAGCCCCGCCAGGCCCCCGCGCCAAGAGGAACCCAGAGGCGCCCGGGCTCCGTTTCTGCCTTTATTGGGAGCAGGAAGGAGGGAGCAGCTGGGTTCCCGGAGCCCATCCCGAGCGCCGGGGCTCTGCAGCCGGCAGCTCCTGGGCCGGCACAGCGGGACCCCCACGCCGCGTGTCCCTGGGACACCAGGGGGGTGTCCCTGTCCCCATCATGCCCAGGGTGGCAGCTCCCCGAGGGGGAGCTGAGCCCGTGGCAGGGACCGTGCGGAGGCACCGCAGGGACGGGGACCCCCCATCCCGCAGGACAGCGGCAGACGGGGGGTCCCCTCACGGCACAGGGACCTCCGTCTACGTAAGGGAGGGAGGAGAAGAGGCCGGGAGGAGCCCGGGGACGTGGGCAGGGCCGTCCCCCACGGCCACGGCGCTACTTCTTGGCCTTGATGAGCGCGTGGTAGACGGGCTTGACGATGATGTGGAGGTGCAGGGCGTTGTCGATGAGGTACTCGGAGGTGCGGCGCTGCAGGTCGGCGTGCGCCAGGAAGTCGGGCACCTCGTCGGAGCTCTGGTGGAAGCTGTAGGCGTGCTTGAGCAGCAGGCGGCCCTGCTGCCGCACGCCCACCAGCACCGTCTTCTGGAAGCTCACGCCGGCCAAGTCGGCGCTGCTGGGGGCGCGCC